CAAGACTGAGGAGGAATCTCTGTGGCAGGCGAAAAGAAGGAGAAAGGGGTTTTTTTGCAAGCCGCAAGAATAAAGTATGTCAGAAGGGAAGGAATGATCAGCCCCCAGAGAAGTTAAGCATGATAAAAAAACAGTGCAGCCAATGGATGTGGCAAACTGGAGGTCATCAATGTACCTGACAGCGGCAATTTCAGGAAGTAGAGGGGAATGGAAGCCTGGTTAGAACAGCTGAGGAGGAGAATGGAGATGCTGTTTCTAATTTCTCACCTATTAACCACTCAATCCAGAGTTGTTATTGCAAAGGAAAATAGTAAAATGGGACGATAAGTGGAAGTCACTCGGCATCACGGAAGGTATTTCCAAGAGACTCAATCATAACGTACTTCATACAAGAGAGACAGAAAGAGAAGGTGTAGGAGAAGGAAGGAACACCTAGCTGAGAGAAATCCATGAGAAGGTGAGAGCAGATGAGGTCCAGAGCCCCTGGAGAAGAGCTGACTGGGGTAGGTGCAGGGGCTTTTCATCTAGTATAACTGGAGGCAAGGCCATGAGTATGGATATAGAAAACAGGGAGGTTGGTAGACTTAGTGGTAGATGGTTCTCTTGTCTTCGTGAAGTAAGGAGGTTCAGTCGTCAACTGAGAGAAAGTGGGAGGGAACGTGGAAGAAACCTGAAGGCCGTGGGAAGGTGTGCAGTGCTCCTCTTGGAGAAGGCATCTCGCTATGGCTTGGCACTCGGGTGCTGGCTTGAGATGTGGGGCCATGAGTTTGAATGAGAAGTCAATATTACTGTGACTGTTTCTAGGAAAATTCAGGAGCTTGGGTGTAGGTGAGAGGAATGGGGTTGTTGGGTTTAACCAATACTGGGGTTTTAATAGGTGAGAACAATTGAAGGGGGTAAGAGAATTAAAGATTTGTAAAGGAATGTTAACAACGGCTGGGGAAGGGAACTGAGGAAGTGAGAGTTGTGATGTATGAATGCGAAGTGACAGAATCAATATTTGGTGGCCTCAGGGTGCTGCCTGTGCCCGCTTGGGAAGTGGATTGGATGGAAGGTGAGGTTGGTCAGTGGGCGGGCTGTTGTAACAGCAAAGGGACAGTTAGGACATAGGAGTAAGGAAACAACTGGGGTCCACAGACGGAAAGATAACTGGAGGTAATTTGGGGAAGTGAGTGCTAAAGGATTCAATGAAACATCCACAAAGACATTGTCCTCATCAGGAATGATGAATAACAAGAGAGAGAGGGAACTCATTGATGACCTGCTGATGATACGGAAGTTGTAAGAGTCCTCCATGTATATCTTAACCAAAGAAGTTGGTCAAAAATGCTAAGTGTTGCGCTTTTCCAGTGCCTTTTCGTTCATAGATAAGCTTCTAAGAGGTTCATAGTTTAAAATCGGATTGACATCTTTGGCTGTGGACAATGCCTGGATGGTATTTCTGAAGATGACTATACATCAGAAGGTCCTAGAAGTCTCTGCTTGTTTTTGGACAGACACCTAGGCCGGCCACAGAGAGTCTGACTGCCTCAGGACTGAACTAGGTCAGAGAACCCAGGTTGTTTACAGCCCTGCCAGGTGATTCTGAATGTAACCACGGAGTTAAACCATAGTATAGGTCACCGTAAATGAAAGAAACGGCTTCGAATAAGTTCTCTCATACTAAGTATTATTTGACCAGGCTAAAGAGATAAGGAAGTGCTGCTAAATTTCGAAACTAGAAAATATCAACTTGTTCTATCACGAATTTTAATATAGTACACAGGGTTTATTTTCATTCTTCTGGTATGTGAATAAACAATGTTAGCACACTGCAGTTTACCCCATAGTGACTTAGAAGATACCTCATCACATTTTGGGGAAGCTATGTACTCAGAATTTGTGTTGATACACTTTATTTTTATGTTAAAGTCCACTTTTTAAATGTTTGTCTTATATTTTCCTCTTATTCCTTCTCCGAATTTAGTAGTAAGCATGCCCCTTTACCACCGTAAACCTTTTGGCATAGTTCCTTATGAATTTTCTTACCCTCTCCATCCCAGAAAGAACTAGATCTCATTTATATTTCCTATATTCTAGCACAGTGGCTTATCAAAGTAGTAAGTATTCGATGAAGGAATGAATCTAAGACTGAAGTAAGAAGTATCACATGAGCTAATCTGTTACCTCTCTGATCTCTGTATTATTCTTTAAGCCTCAAGGTAGTTTCTGGGAAAGGTAGTGGATGTAACGAGATGTGGCTTCGATACTTAAGAAAAATGATGTTCTAGGATTTCATAGAAAGTTCGCGACGTGTCAAACCCACAGCAAGTCATTTTTCTCACCAAGCCCTCATAAATTCAGGCAAAGAAATCATTATACTAATCTTGCCATACCCAAGTGTCTTCCCTCCCGGCAGAGCTCCATGGGGCCTCCTTTTTGCTGATGCTCACTGGGGCCGGTCTGGAAGAAGGAGCAAGAGCCTAATACCCGGTTTCCATCAAGCTTTGAATTGCACAGTATTTGATGGCACACCATTACTGCTCTGGTATATCCCATTAGGATTAACCTTCTTGAATGCACTAGAAATTCTCCTGGTATCATTTAGTCATTCATTTACTGCCTACCAAGCACTGTGTGCCTATGTAATGGAATATGACATTAACCTAGAAACCACCCCTGACATCAGGAGTTTACGATCCAGTTGGGAAAACATAGATACAAGCATGATAAATGTTCTGCTGGAAGAAGTATACCATGCAGAGTACAGAGGAGGGGGAAATGACTCAGAACTGGAAATTCAGAGAAGGCTTCCTGCAGGAAGTGGCATTGGAGCTTTGAGTCGAGGGATGAATTTGCTTTTTCTGAGCCCGTGGTGAGAGAGCTCTGATTCAGGCAAAGCAAAAGCAGAAGGTGGGGGACGCAGGGAGCATGTGGGGGACCCCAGGTGTTTGTGTGTGGCTGGAGCACAGGAGCCAGATGATGAAAGGGACTTTATTTCATATGAGTGAGTTTGGACTGCCTAATTCTGGAAACAATGGAATCCATCAAAGGATTTCGGGAGGAGTTTGCCATACGGAGAGAGAGTTCAGCCATAGAAACAGGCAGTTTGAAACCCCCCGACACTCTCTTTTAGCCAGTTGTACCCTGCACCAGAGAAAAATGTGCCACACATACAGATGTTCACTTATGAAGCCAGAATTCATGTTAGGAACCTCACAAGCAAAATAAGAAAATATTCAAAGTTCATGAGACTGTCCATGCACCTGCACGTTGGTGTGGCATGTACTTCGTGCTGCTTCTAGGTAAGGGGCTTGTTATTCGTTAATATTTTCAAGAAAAGGGGATCCTGACATGCTTGGTCTGTCAAAGACTAAGGTCACCTTATTCTGGTGACATAAAAGCCACTTGACTAGGCTGAAAATGCGTCCCCAAAACCTATTGCAGAATTTTATCTTTAATGGCTTTTGTGAATTTAGGCTGAAGGACTTCAATGGTGCATTAGGGAAGGGCAGTAAAACCCTGGGAACGCCAGAGCAAGGGCCCTTAAAAACGACAATGCTGTTCTCTGCTTGAGGAGAGCTGCTCACACTAATACTCGTGTCATGAGGACTCTGAAAATGCTGCAGGCCACTCCTCTAAGTATTTACCATCAAACTACCCCCTTCACCGGAAGAAGGTGAGTTTTGTTCTCTCCTATGGATTTAAGGATCTCACTAGTGTCTGCAAGACGAGCCCCACTCCTTTAACTACCCCAGCAATAATATTTATTAACTAGAGGCATTCGAGCTTCATCCTTAAAAAGATTCTAATTTCTTCAAGTTTAAAATATAACCATATTATGTATCATTTTTCCCTTGTTTTGTAGAGTCTTGAAGTTCAGTCCAGTGACACAGATAAAAATGATAACAAGTACTACTACCTTATGGCAATTTAATTGCCCCTGTGACCCTAGGAGCTATACTTACATGTTTACAGGTCATATGCTACTTAAGAATTTAAGGATGTGAGCTTTCGAAGGGGAAAAAATGAAACAAGACGAAACCAGAGAGGGAGACAAACCATAAGAGACTCTTAATCTCAGGAAACAAACTGAGGGTTGCTGGAGTGGAGGGGGGTGGGGGAATGGTGTAACTGGACGATGGACATTAAGGAGGGTATGTGATGTCATAAGCACTGGGTGTTATATAACACTGATGAATCACTGACCTCTACCCCTGCAACTAATAATACATTATATGTTAATTAAAAAAATA